CTTTGGAAGATAAACGTTCTTCCAACATCAATGCACAAAGCCTTAAAAAAACTAGATTTATCATTCAAACATTAGTTGCCAACTGTAATGTTCAAAATAACCTTGAAATGCCGAAAATAATTTGCAATGGATTTGTTTTCGCATCAAATTTTTCAAGCAAGGTTAAATATAAATTCATTTTATTGACGTCGTACATCACAGATAATTGCACTTGAAATCCTCAACATTTGCTCATTAGAGTGTGTGACCCAAACTTTTTTTGGGTTCCTCAACCTTCAATTCAATAGCACATATAGCCTTCGATACTTGTTTCTAACAAAAATATTTAAAGAAAATACTTTATTTATTATTACTTCTTACTTATTTGAAAATATAAGGGCACATAAATCTTAAAAGGATATTTTGGATGGAATCTTTATCAAAGATAAAATGTACATTTAAATGAAAGGTTGATTATTGTAATTTAATCCAAAAAGGGTTTGCAACTCAATGCTTGAAAGAGAGAAGTTCGAGACCTCAACTATAGAAAACCGTGGTGGAATATAATATCCAAGGTGCTAAGCATTGCATATATTGCTACAATCGCTCAACCATGACTACTCAAGTACCAGGATTTGCCAACATCAGTAAGCTTTAAACCCGAGTTTTATTATAATACTAAAACACATCACCATAAAACTTCATGCCTTAACAGGCTTAAAGAACAATCATAAGTAAAAACATACATAAAAGTTTGAAGCCATATGAAAGTAAGCATGGACTTTGGAACATATAAGAGAGAATTGAAGATAATACTAAAACATTCAAAAACCGCCTCTGAGATGGAGAACAAGGTGAAGGGTAGATTCCTTCTGGATGTTGTAATCGGCCAAAGTCCTTCCATCCTCTAGCTGCTTTCCTGCAAAGATCAACCTATGCTAGTCAGGTGGGATCCCCTCCTTGTCCTGGATCTTGGCCTTGACATTATCTATGGTGTCAGAGCTCTCCACCTCAAGGTAATAGTCTTCCCAGTGAGTGTTTTGACGAATATTTGCATACCACCATGAAGCCTTGTTAGCACAGCTAAATTAACCAACTGAATTCCATATGGCACACTCACGCTTTACTGGATCTGGTGCACCAGAATTCCACTCAGCTTTCTCTCTCTCCCCTCCTAGTTGCTGGACCACCCTTAAATTGTGGATCACCATTGATTCCTTTTTCACTTGTACAGCTTAGATTTAACATCTAAAATATTCTTTACTTGTATAAATTTCACCTCATCTTCATTTGTATTGTATTGAGCATTAAGCTGATTGATATATCTTTTTACAAAGTTTAAACTTGGTATCAGAGCTCCAATGGCAAACGCCAATAATGCTGGAACCAACAGTCAGCAGGCTCAATCAACTTCAGTAGCTAACGCAATGGTATCTCCAATGCTGGGAGGTAACCATTTCACTCTGTTTGGTGTGACCCTCACTCAAACCCCTTCCATCAAACTCAACAGAGACAGCTATCTCCTATGGAAGAACATGATTCTACTTATCATCAAAGGCCACAATCTGGAAGAGTTTTTACTGGGAACCAAATTGTGTCCCTCTGAATTTACCAGAACTCAGACTACAGGAGAATCAGGGATTAGTAGAGATGACATCTAATCCAGAATTCAGTCAGTGGAAATCCATTGATCAGCTACTCATGGGATGGCTCTATGAAATAATGATTCCTGATATTGCATTGAAAGTTATGGGATCTACAGACTCTCATAAACTATGGACTGTAATAAGTGATAGCTATGGCATTCAGAACAAATCGAGGATCACGTTTCTCATTGGTGAACTGCAGAAAACCAGGAAAGATAACCTGAGTATTGATCAATACTTGAGCAAGGTAAAACTCCTTGCCAGTAATCTTGAAGTTGTTGGGAAAGTCATACCACTCACAGATTTGGTGACTCAAATTCTGGCTGGCCTAGATGAAGAATATACACCCATTGTTGTCCAAATTAATAGCAGAGATTCTATATCTTGGGAAGAACTTTAATCCACCCTCATGACTTATGAAGCAGACTTGATCATATCAACACAATTAAGAATGAAATGGTAGGTATCAATCTTAGTCAATCATCTGCAAACTTCAATTATAGGGCTCTAAACAATCACTATTCTGGCAGAAACTACGACACCTTCAATGGTGGTGGATCATACACCAGAAACTTCAGAGGTGGTAGAAGAGGAGGTAGATACAGAGGTAGATCAAACTTCAATCACCCACCTACGTGTCAAGTCTGTAGAAAAGTTGGGCATAAGGCTAATATCTGTAATTACAGATATGATGAGAGCTACAATGGATCCATTGCACCACATCAAAGCAACTTCAGAAACCACACTCCTTCAGCTTTTGTTGCCTCACCAAAAACACTAAATGATCCAGCATGGTTCGCTGATACAGGAGCCAGCAACCATGTCTCCTCAAGTGCAGAACATCTCAGTCAGGCCAGTAAGTACTCTGGTAAGGAAAGAATCATGGTTGGTAATGGAAGCAAACTCAATATTTCTCACAT